GGGCTAGATTGCTGCTACATCCTGTAGATACTGTAAGGTTAAGCACCTTTATTTGGCCAAGCATGTTACATACACAAGGTACAGAACCGAGGCAGCCATCTGCGGTGCCAACTTGGGGGTTCAGTGTCTTGCCCAAGGACACTTTGACATGTGGACTGCAGGTACCAAGATTTGAACCTCCAACCCTCTGGTTGGGAGACTGCGCTAGCCACTGAAACACAGCTGACTCGTTACTAAATCAGACACCAACCCATTACAAATCCTATTTTAACCCCTGTTTAGAATGTAAAAAGTAACAGAGTACTCTGACTCAACTACTGTACTTAAACCTGCACTAACCAATATTTTTGCTATCAGTTTAGTCTATGACATACAGTACAACTGCCAGCTGAAGTAATCATGAATTGTTATTAGTAATGAATTATTCTGCTTTCATACACAAATCCAGCTATCATCAAACCAAAAACCAAAAGTCCTGTGAGGAGCACTGTGCGGTACCGTACTGTAATCAGGTCCTGCAACAGTCCCTCACACTTGAGTGTGTGCCATAAAAAGTCTGTGGTTACTTTTCATAGAAGTGGGTGCTCAGCCAAGATCACTCCAAAGGCACAATGCAGAATACTGAGTTGAGGTAAAAAAAAAAGAAACCTAGAGTAACAGCTGAAGAGATGGATTCATTGGAGTTGGTTAACATCTTTGTTCATGAGTCAACCATACAGTAAATATTGAACAGGCATGGCATCCATGGCAGGAGACCACCGAAGAAGCCATTGCTCTCCAAAAATAACATTGCAGCTCACCTGAAGTTTGCTAAAGACCATGTTGACCCTCCTCAACACTACTGGGAAAATGTCCCGTGGACAGATGAAATGAAGGTAGAACACACAGCGTGAGTTAAAAGAGTACCAACATGAAATCATCATCCCAGCAGTGAAGTATGGTGGAGGGAGCATCATGATGTGGGGCTGCTTTGCTACCTCTGGACCTGGACCACTGCCCATTGTGGAGGAGAAAATGAATTCCCAAGTTTATCCAGGTATCCTACAGGATAATATCAGGGTGGCTGTCCACAAGGTGAAGCTCAGAACAAGCTGGGTGATGCAGCAGGACAATGACTCTAAACATCGAAGTAAATCTACTACACAATGGCTTTGGAGACAAACTCCTCCTTTTGGAGTGGCCCCGTCAGAGCTCAGACTGGGCTCAGACTACCCAATAGAGATGCTGTAGAATGACCTCAAGAGAGCTGTTCACACCAGATGCCCTTAAGAATATGGCTGAGCTGAAGCAGTTCTGTAGGAAGAACTAAACTGGACCTTTGAGATGTGGTTTCTACACGACACAGCTAAACCACAGGTGCAGCCTCTGAAGACACAGCAGTGGGGCTTAAGAAACCATGTGATTTGCTGTCAGACAACACAGTTTTAGTCATACGAAACCTTAAACTGCATCTAAGCTAATGTCAGCCGTCTTTTATTGTCTCCTGTGCTTATGTTTATTTACACCATATTGTCAAATGTACTTTCAGTTCATATGATATCCCATCATACGTGTTTTCTCAGCTGCTTTCTGGGAAGGTGTTGTAATCTAAAAAGGACCTGTAATAGTGGCTACTTAATTAGCTATGTCATCATGTTTGTTGGAGAGGAAAAGTCAAACATTTGAAAAATCAGACTTGTTGATATATGCCTATATGATATATATTCATAGACATGCTGCATTTCAGGTATGTGGTAGTGATGTTTGCCAAAAATCTCTACTTCTTATTCAAATAAGTTGAGCTCTACATCGCACTGGTAAAAGGAGGAAAGAGCGTGAAATATTTTGAGTGTGCGGTGGTAAACTAGTAGCCTATAGGAGCACCCTGCTGGTGGGTTTGTTACATAATACCAATTTACTTTCCATAAAAAAAAGTCTGTTCTTTGACTTTGTACAGAAGTGGCTCCAATTCACACCTCCTCTGATGGTGACTCATGGTTTTTAGTGCAACATAATCCAAGAACCACTTGAACAAAGAAGCTTGAAGCCAAGTTCCAACATCTATAGCTTGTGATAGGGTGGTTATTTGGTTGAAGTATGGGCTGAAAGCAAAACTGACAATGAAAATTGACACTTGCAGAGATAACTGCTTGGTACACAGTAGTTAGATGATACAGGTGAGTAACAAAACACAATCATAGGAGGCCTTAAACATCTTAAATGATGAGCTTAGGTTAAGTAGTTTCACTTAGCACACTGACCACAGGCCAGACTAGATAAGAGATACTGTATAATACAGTAGGCTGAAAGTGTGAGTGAAACAATACAAACCATTCAGTGCTGTAATGCTGTGTTGTTTTAACAGTAGGGTAGATGGCATCTTTGGAGGAGGCAGCTCCCTCTCTGTGGAGCCAGGCTGAGGGTGGGGGGCCCAGTGAGGGCCAGTAGCTGTCCTTGCTCACTGAACTCAGCAGCATCTCTGCTAACTTCCTTGCTGCAGACTGGGATCAAATCACAATGCATTATTTAGTGAATTATTTTCAATCCTTAGTAGACCAATATACATGTCAAAGTGTCCTTGGGCAAGACATGAAATGAAAGTTGCCCTGGTGATATCACTAGTGTATGAGTGGGTGAATGGGCTAATAGTGTATTTTGAATGTGTTTCCATACATAGAAGAGCGTTTTATAGATACAGATCATTTACCCAAACACCTAAAAACTAATCTATGCCTTAATTTTTCAAATACTAAATGGATTGTGAATTAAAGTATCAGAGTCACTGAATACAGTGCACTGACACAATAGAATAATGAATGTTTGGTACAGTAGATGCAACTACAGCTGCTGCTTTTGTGCAATTGTATTTGTGTGTGTGTGACACATCACCTTCTTGAAGCTCTGAGACCCTTGTGATTCCACCACCCTGAGCACCCTAAGCAGCTGGTGAGCACCCTGCACAAAATGGCTAACATATAAACCCATAGTAGTTGTATATCACTGTGATTGCTGGTGAAGGTGTAATAAATACAAAGACGGCAAAACAGAGGGATGTTTGATACTGTGGATAAAAGAGCAGATAACACTGTTAATATCACACTGTTTACAGTTGATATTCTGGTGCATTCTGCTTCACACATCCAGGATCACAGCTTGGTATATAAACAATTAAGAGCCATTCTGTAATGATTAGAGCTCTATAGTAGATGCTTCATTGTGGGAGGATTTACTACAAGACTGTCATATTAGACTGAGTTCCCATTAAACTGGCAAATGTATGTCACAGTTCAACACTTGTTTACACACTACTTTGCTTGTCAAAGTCTAAGAGCAACACTAACACCTGCTGGTCACAAATTAAAATGTGTCTCTGCTGCACTGAGGTCACCTTCATTTGTTCTCCTCACTTTTCAAAACAAGACCAAAGCCCACATTTCCCGCCATCACACATAGGGATTAATCAGTAGCCACTAAACATTAGATAAGGCCAATAAAAACTAATCAACTTAAAGAGATGCAATCTTTTACTGTTTTACTTTTATACTGTTGTACTGTTTTGCTTTAATAATAAAGTGTGTGTTATTGGGTTTGAGGTTAATAAGTGAGTATTTTTGCTGACTGACAGCTTTCAACTCTAATTTTAAAAAGCGTTTTTAACAGAAGTGATGGTGTATGTGTTGTGTGTGCAGGGTGTAGGGTTGGCATACTCACCCCCTGCAGACAAAAGCACTCTGTAGAACAGCCTGTAGAAAGTAGCCCAGCTCAATGTCCACAGGTGGAGGGGGCAGACTGCCTTTGGCAGTCTTGCTGTGAGGTGTCGTCACTATCTGAAAATATACACACAACAAAATCTAGGTTCAGTGTATTAAAATTTTAGGTAAACATTAAGTAAATTAATGACTGAGAGCCTTAAATGCCTTTGCCTCTATCTTCTGACTGTTACTCCAGTATATTGTCACTAGAGCAGCAGCGTAATAGTCTCAAAGAGAACAATACAAAAAAGAAATACAGAGAAGTCAAATCAGAATTGGTCTTATTATTATATTACTGTATCAATATAATTGAAGCCATCTGAGATGGAGCTAATTATAACTATATCCTTTGTCATTTAATCTATAACAATGCAGCATATTTTATAACCTGGTCATATGTTTTGTGTGTAAAATCCTACATCCCATTCAGACAGGATTAACACTATAAGGGAAGGTGAGGGAGAATAGTAGTTTAGTAGGGGCGACAGTGGTGCGGTGGGTAGAGCAGTTGTTTGGTGGGTAGAGCAGTTGTTTCCCAGCCGGTAGGTTGACAGATCGAATCTTGGTGCCTGCAGTCCACATGTCAAAGTGTCCTTGGGCAAGACACTGAACCCCCCCAAGTTGCCTGTGATGGTGGCGTATATGCACGCAGTGGCCTGGGGCCCTCGGCTCCAAACAAAATTTCGTTGGGTCTGTTACAATAAAATAAAAGCTTCTTCTTAACCACTGGGTCTGGACAGGATTTTAAACTTAATCAAAATGATTGAAAAAGGATGTGGACTGTGATAGACACAAACACTCAGCCAGACAAAGCCAAAAGAGAATCAACAGATCCATTTTATTTTCAGTGTTAATGACACTACATAAACAAACATATACACATATGCGGATTGTTCGTTTACATAACTCACCTTATCAAGCTTCTGCAGGAAGGACAGAGCAGCATCACAGGCCCTGAGGTAACAGGACAGACTCTCCTCCTCCCTCTCTGACAGACGAATGCGAGACACTGCAGAAACTGTCTGGTGGTCTAGAGACAGACCTGAAACACAAGGAGAGACCATGGTCATGAATTTTACCTCGCCACCTAATATCAATCAGCAAAATGAAAGTGGAGATATCTCATTCTCATTCTTCATTTCAGTATGTCCTTGTGAGTCTCTAAACATTATAAACCATGGCATGCACATTTAAAAAAGCTAAACTAAGTTTATCAGCTACCAAAAAACTGTAGCCAAACAATATGGTGCTATAAGTTCCAGGCTGAAATATCTTAGCAACTGTTGGATGGCTCAACATTCACAAGTCCTCAGTGAGTAATCCTAATAACTTTAGTCCCTTTGTAACTTCTGCTCTAGCGCTACCATTTATAGCTTTCACTAAACAGATGGACTGCCATGAAATTTCCTACAAATATTCCCGTCAGAATGAATTGTAATCACTTCAGTGATATCTTATAAGATTCAGGTCAAGTTTTATTTGTTTTAAATTAGCTAGTGAGTAAAGGTTAGAAAATGTTAGGTAAATCAATCTGTAAACATGGTAGACATTTTACCTGCTAAACAGCAGCACACAGTTATTATGCACGGGCAGGGCCAGGGGGTGGCGAGGCGTGGTGAGGGGTGGCATTAGCCACCCCCAGAGTCTGATTGGCCACCCCTGCCAGAGTCAAAATGGAATGTTTGTCAGTACAAATGAGGGAAAATTGAAAACTAATTGTTGCATGAAACACAGCTAACATTTTCCTGGTGCATTATAATTGATATTGGTCAAATTAGTTTTATTTTATATCATGTATGCAGCATGATATTTGCATTAATTTCTCTGATTATGTTGTTGTGGAGTACCTGGCACGATTTGACTCAATGGAGGGGAACTACTGTGCAGCAGTGATGTCCCCATTCAGAAGTAAATAAGGAGCCAGTGCAGCCAAAGTTAGCTAAAGAAAGCACTATATGGTTCTCTTTTTTTACACAAAATAAAGAATTTGATTCTTAATAATGTATGGTTTATTATTTCACAGAACTAGAGGTTTGGTTTACTTTTACATGTATTTCAAATGTGCCACCCCTCTGTGAGTTTGTGCCCGGTCACCCTGTCCACCGTTTTCTAATCCAAAATTCGTCTCTGTTATTGTGAGCTAACATGGTAATGGTAGCATGACTGTATGCTTTTAATCTTGTCATTTCCAATACAACTAAGTATTACTGTAGAATATTTCTTTCCCTCTAACATTTCTAAATGTATTATGCATGTTTTCCATATTGTACTACGCAGATGGATGCATTGTTCATGCATGAATAAGAAGCAGTAATAAGGGTAGCAGCAGTCCAGATGCCTGCTCTGATGTCTGTTAATGGGCTTATTGGGACAAATAAAATGATGTAGCAGGAACCGTAACAGACCAGAGGAGGCCTGTGGTGAGACAGCAGACCTAATCAAGTAAGCAGACAGCTGCCAAAAGACAAGAAATCATCATCATCCAAATATTCACATCTGACTTCATTCCCATAGCAATACATTCCATAAAAGCATGGAACTGAACTATACAATCCCCATAGAATCTGGTCTGTTTTCTCATGTAGCTCCTGAGTCATGAAAGTCCACTGTTAATGTGATCTGGTGGGGTTCAAAACAATCAAAGGAAATCAAAATCTGACAGTTATTGTAATAAAATTTCCTATAGTTTGATGAGGCCATGTCCAATGACCAGGAAACAGGGAGTATAATGATATGATGATGATGAGTGTAACAAGATTCTCCACTCACTGTGAGTACTGTATAATGTTCTGTGACTATGGCCTTTAAACTTTCATTATGTTGGTATTCAATGTGTCACAATAGACAGAATTAATCTAGGTGGTATCTGGTTGAAAAAAAAAAAACACACATTTTTAAAGCAACCCCCAAAACAATCTGCTGTAACCAAAATGCTTTTTTGGACTTCAGACAGCCTGTGTGCATGTGTGAGTAACAGGAAACTCTTCCTTGATGTATGACTCACAATCATTGCACTTACTGAGAGTAAGACTCAAACAAATACACTAGACGATTACTGACATAAATATAATTATAATAAACTTTATTTCTATAGCGCTCTCAAGCTCCAAGAGCACCAGAGTGCTGTGCAGTAAAAACACACAAAGCAATAACAGTAGCAAAAAACAGGTAGGTGCAAACACAAATACTAACCACGACTAAAATTTAAACAGTAAAATAGGTTGGGTCTCAAAAGCCTGCTTAAAAAACTAAGTTTTTGAGGCCGATATCTGTCTAATCAATTTGTTAGGGAGCGCTCACACACGGGAAGGTGAGTGAGCGGAAAAGAACGGACCGAAAGGGCTGACTTCGATGCAAGCAGATTTAATATGTGCTGTACAAATATTTACAAATGCAGTGAAAACAGGACAAGAATACTGAGGGTAAAGTCTATGAAAACCAGGTGTCGATCAGCACGGGGAAAGTCACTAGTGGGTTTACAGAGAAGGCCGAGCTTCAGAACAGAAAGAAAAGGTCACTCACTGGCTGGTCGGTGGAGATGGAAACAAGCCGAGGAGATGGAGTAGAGGATGATTGTGATTGGAGACAGCTTGAAGGACTGTGCATCGACCTGACTAGTGGAGACTGGAAGGGCAACGAGGCATATGGTCCGGGGATGGTAATCTGTGGTTGCGGTGGTGAGGAGGAACAGAAGAGGTGTAGCGAGGAACTGGGGGAAAAGCAGGTATCAATCCAGAATGCTAGTGATGTTCCCTCTGATACCGAGGCTCCGAAGCTGGCTTCAAACTCGGAAGGCTATTTTTCTGAAGCACTGTGCCGGAGCTTGCTTCAAATCAGAAAAAACCACGTGACTGATGACGTTCGAACCACTTCTGCTTCATTCAGATTGAATCAGCTGACTGCTTTCAGGCCCGGCCCTAACCAATTGGGCGCCCTAGGCAAGATTTCAGGTGGCGCCCCGTTGCATCGCAGTAAATTCCACTGCTAGTGTATATACTCATAAGAAAGATAATAGCTTTGTCTTGGACATTCTTTTATTTAAATAAAGCAATTGCACATTCAAAATACTTAGAAAGAATTAAAGAAACAAATACAAAAAATGAACTGAACATATGAAATACAATATAAATAGCTTACATAAAGTACCTATTAATACTCCCAAAATAAAAAGTGTAAACAAGTGACATTAACTTAAAAATACAATATAAATAC